GGGGGGGGGGGGTGGGCAGGTGGGTGGTGTGACAGTGATGCGCAAGGGGGCTTAGTCAGCTTTCTCTGCGTGTCTCTAACCTTGAATTTTTTATCTGTTTCCCCCTTTCTGTGGAGCCCCCCCTCCCCACCCCACCCAGGGACTGTATACTCCCTCAGCGCCTCCGAGTGTGCCCTGCGCTGGTATCCAGCATGTTTTTTTCACGGACTCCACACACATCCTTATAGTAGGTGCTACAATTCTTCTCGTTTTATGAAAGGGACACTGAGGCTCAGAGAAGTGCGTTCCTTTGTCCAAGTCGCTCCCAGAACAAGTCTGCCTGACCCCAGAGGGGTGGAACTAAACCAGCACCTGGGCACTTTCTCGCGTGCCACCAGACTGGGAGGTGGGTAGCGTGGAGGAGTGCGCTGGGCGGCAGAGACCAGACGGAGGCGAAGCTGAGGGGGCATCCAGGGGAGGATGCAAGACTTGGCGGGAAACCCAAGAGCCCTCCCGTGGTGTCCGCGGGAGGCTGAGACCCCACCCAGCGCGCAGGAGGACAGCAGCCCGCGGTGGGGAGCCAGAGGGGTTGCGCTGTCGGGGTGACTAGAGCGCAGTCCTGGTCCATGCCGAAAGGGAAAACGCGGGGCCCAACGCGAGGCTGGTGGGGCGCACCCAGAGTCCCCTCTCCCTGCAACACCTCTCAGCCCCCTGGGCAGCCTCGAAAGGGGCAGCAGGGCACACCTGGCAGCTCTATCCAGAGCTCAGGGAGTCTTCGAAGCTTCCTGGAACGGTGGTGAACTGGGGTCCCCGGACTGAGAGACACCCCCCCCCCTCGAGACTCAGAGACAGAGAGACAAAGAGAGACCGGGTCCCGGAAGAAGAAGGCGAGTGCCGAGGAGGAGAGGGAGCCAGAGCCGCGACCAGGAGAGGGCGGCGAGGGCGCGGCGAGGGCGCGCCGAGGCGGAGTGTCAGGTGGAAAAGTGAGTGTCCGGCGGAGGGTGGGTGAGCCAGGCGCCGGGAGCAGAGCCAGGAGGCGAGGGGAGACGCAGCGAGGAGGGAGGAGGCGGACGGACGGACCGACCGGTCCCAGGGCCAGGACGCAGGGAAGAGAGCAGCGTCCTCGCCTCCAGCCTAAGTCCTGGGCGCACCCTGTCCCTGAGCGCGCCAGGTAGCCCACCTTTGTCGCGCACAGC